TGGGGTGGGGTGAGAAGCAGAAGAGGCCTTGACTCTGTGCAAGCACTGCTCAGCAGTGACTAAAACATCCCTGTGTTATCAACAGTGTTTCCAGCACAAATCCAAAACATAGTCCCATCCTAGCTACTATGAAGAAAATTAACTCTACCCCAGCCAAAACCAGCATGCTATGTTAGGTAAGACATGGGGATAATTATTCTGCTCGGCATTATTAAAGCTGCAGTTGAAGTGTTCTGCCCAGTTTTGGCCACTGCTTTAAGAAAGATACGAGAGCTGAGCCACAAAAGTAGGGATATAAATATCTGTAGGTATACAGCTTGAATGAATTAGGTGCTTTTAGAAAAGAAACAAAATTAATACAGAATGCACATTCTGAAATACGTAGTGGGCAGTTCAAGGATAGCCATCAATTGTTCTTGGTTTACCAAGAATAGAACAAGCTGTCTCAGTTTGCAACAAGGGAGTTTTAGGTTAGATGCAGATTAAAAACAATATTAGATTGCTTAAGCCCTGGGATAGTATAACTTGGAAAGCTGCAGAATCACCAGCACTGGAGAGTGCTGAGATTTGATTTGACAACTGTCTGTCATAGATGGCTTGGGTACATTTAAGGATGCTGTGGATCCAGAAAATGAATTAAATGACTACTTAGAACTGATTAAATGAGTTTTTATCAGAATTACCATGGAATATGAGCAACAGCATAATATAATGGTTATATCTCTGATATGACAAGGTGTCAGTAAAAACACTGATTTTTCTGGTCATTAGTACTATGAATTGATAACTTAAATAATTACATTAGCTTGTATGGTGCTTTTTTAACTTGTACTATGCCAATGGGTCAGTACCTGAAAGTCCATTCTCACGTAAATTTGAAGCTTTCTATTAAGAAAAAACATGTTTAACACTTTGTCTGGTATCAGCTTAAGTTCTTCATCTTTCCTGGGGAAAAAATCTTCCATCGATTTGTGTCTTTGCATGTTAACAATTTCAAGTCATGGTCCCCTCAGTCCAGTGGAATAAAAAGTATTAATTTTTGTTTTTAAATGAAAGCTGGCTTTTTGAATATTAATTCAGTTTATATTGGTTTATAAAGTCTAAATCTTAGCATTGAAGGTGCAAAAGCTGTGTAAAACTCAACAGGAAGAATGGCTCAAAGGGTAGGGTGAATCGAATCATGTTTTGACTCTAATTATAAATAGCTTTTCAAATAAAGAAGAAGCAATACTTTTTTTTTTTTTTCTTCCTACTGCAAAATGCGTGGTCTTAGAAATATTCTGGAATTGTATAATTATCTGCCCCATATCATTTGTGCTGTTTTTCCGGAAATACACAGCAATGGTTTAGTTCTTGTCCTCTATGTAACCTCAGCTATTGGGAGTGCTAGATGTGTGGTGCACTGATGTTTTGGTTAGCTTATGTCTGTTTTTTCCTTGAAGGAAATTCTTTTTAAGCAATCAAAATAACATCTTTTTTAATTTTTTATTTTTTTTTTTTTTTTTTACCCCTGGCAATATCCTGACAAATATAAATAAACTATTTAGGCATACTATTAGATCATCAGATAACATGAAACAGTGCTTAAAAAGAGAACTGTACAGATTTTTGTTAGTTTGAAAATGCTGCTGGTACTTCTTGTATGCCCAAGTATACCAATCCAGCTATTGAGTAATGTGATTTCTGTCCAGCAGATGGAAACAGGAAATAAAGCAAAATGTTGTGACATCATCAGTATAAAATGGAAAATGCCTGTAAGTGTGCCAGTGTGTTTTACCTCCCAGCAGGTGGTGATAGCCTTCTCACTGCCTGGGCTAAAGTTTGGTTTGTTCTCTTAAGATGTCTTTTTTTCTACCACTATTTAAAATGGGCAAAGCCTGATGTCTTAATTTCCTTACTTCGTTGTTTCTCTCTCCTCACTGAGGTATACTGCAGTTTTTTGTCTGATTCTGATGTGTTTGGCCTGCAGGTAGGAGAAAAGACTTTAAGGATGAAAATCATGTGTTATATTTGTATTTCTGAGCTTGTTTGTGATAGTGCTTTTATAATAATCCAGTAGCATAACTACTGAGATCATATTCATCATCAACAAAAAATGATATGCAAGTAATGAAGAATTAGTCACGACGTAAGACTTCTAAAATAATTGCAGCTGCTTACAAAAAAATAAAAATGTGAAATCAAATGTAAACTGGCAATAATCTAGAAATATTAGGAAACTAAGATAAAAAGAAACCTACCATACAAACAACAATGATGAGTTGGCGATTAATATTCCCCTATGAAGTCTCTTTCAAAAACAATTCAGTAGACTACATATAAAAAACGTACTTTCATAAAGCAGGAATCTGTATAGCTTTATTTTTGCACTAATATTGTGTTAAATTCTGAACTGTATGTCCAAACCAACATAAAAATATTGAAGGAATTCAGAAACTGAAAGTGAAAAAGGATTGTGAGCTAAGCAGCAGAGCTAAACAAATGTAATTATTAAAGAGACTTCTAGCATCCCAGTAGTTAATATAGTGTACAAAGCGTAGTGAATTTTACTACCACCTATTTAATGTAGTACAGAAAGCTAACTAACAGCAATATTGCATGTTTAGAAAAAATTTCTTGACTAATTTGTATTATAAAGAATTCTATTCCATCGCAAGTGATAGGAGCCCTCCATTTAGGATTAAAACTAAAAAACAAACGCTCTTTGGACTAAGAGTAAATTGTCATTATCGAGAAGCACACTCGTTAGCAATTACTCAGTCCTGAATAGTTGTTGCAAAAGTAGCAGGCTTTATTTTCCAAGTAGTTTGTTCTGTTTATTCATTAGCTGACCTTACTAGTTTTTTGAATGTCACAGGGGTTTTTTTTGTTTGTTTTCAGTTTTGATCAGCTCAAAACGGCTGGTGGTGGGTTGTAGAAAAAAAA